AGTTTCGTTCTTCCGTGTGTACAGGATATATACGAGGCCTCGAAAGAAACCACCGACAGTCGATCCATTGGCGTGGCCGCAATGGAGAGACTGGGAAAAGCTGAACCACCTATGCTACACGCGCCGTATGTACTCTCGACTGCATGTATCGGCATGTAAACCGACTTTTGTACATAGAGCGGTGGAACGCGCGGTCGCTCGGTTTTTCGCCGTTATTACATCGAACGTCGTTTCCACCAGTTTCTCCAGACGTCATATATGTCTCTCCGGATGCGGCTGAATGTATATACGGGGACGTTCGGCGACATCCGAGTGCCGTGCCAAAATTATATTGACTCTGCCCGAACGCACTCCTCGCGAACGTCAGATGCTTTTACGTCTCACGCATTTCCTGTCCTCCGTCGGACTTATTGTGTCGTTTAGTCTTTCTTTCTGCGTTCCTTTGTCGAGCAGGAAACGTTGCCCCGGATAATAGATGTCCCGGCCCATTAGACGCGCCAGGCCGAAACTTTTCTGTGATCAAACGTTCGTCGTACTTTCTTTCTGCTAATAAATATTTAAATCTAACCTCGATCATCTTGCTAAGGGGCAAATCGTTCGTTAATGTCCAATGATCGTCGATGGTAACGAGGAGGAATCGATTGCTTGTCGTTTAAATGCGCATCGAGTACGAATTTATTAGGCTATTTGGAAATACCCTGATAAAAGACAGAAGGGAAGACGGTGGAAGCTTTCCGGGGGGTTGGAGGAGGATATAAGGAATGGCGCATAAGGGTGGCGCACGCGGTATCACGGGAGGCTGAAGCACTACCAGCAGGCAACCCCTTGTAAGGGGTAGGAAGCAATTATAACACTAAATTAAGGGCGAAGAAAATTTGGTAATTAGGGGGATTCAAAAGGGATAAAGTTGCAGGATGGCCGTTTTTCCTGCGCCAGATTCTTCGAGGGTTACCGGGCATTAAGCTTGTCGGCTGAAAGAGAAACTTTTACCAAGACGGCTGAATTGTTACGAAATCCAAATGGTTCGATTCGCGAATATAAATTATTTTAATACGTACAGTTCCGTGCTACATTCTATTTAGATAGAAGATAGTGGAACATTAAACAGAGATATACGAGAGAAATACAGGCGACAAAATTACAGCTTCGCATTCATTAGACGAACGGTAGCACGCGGGTTTAATTTTCGATCTTGGTGGGCATTGTGAGCATCGGGACGACGCGACGTATATAATACGGTCGCGCAAGCCGCAGAAACACGATGATGCTTTACGCGCTGACGCGGCGCTGTCCGTCACGATGGGCGCCGTAACGTGGTTCGCGGAACCAACCCCTGGGCACCCCTAGGCACTACGAATATATATCTATCCGTTTGGATTACAGTGGACTACCAATAGGGTAAACACAAACACGCGAACAGATAGAGAGAGAGAGAGAGAGAGAGAGATTCGTATCAGTAGAGAGTAGCAGAGGGAATTCGCGCGCGAGGGAAAGAGAGAAGATAGAGGAGATAGCTGGGTGGAAGGGTGGTAGAAATGGCGGGGTGGTCGAACCACCACCGACAGGGGGTGGCTGCTGGAGGTCGACGCGTGCGGGCATTGCGATCCGTCAGAGCGGGTAAACCGAAAACATAAATTTAATAGGTTTCACCCCCTTCTTCGAGCTTTATGGCGCCACCGAATTTCCCATTAAATAAACAAGCGCCATGTTCATTACGGGGCATCGGATCTCGACCGATCGTGTGTATACGCGCCCTGCTACCGTGCTCTATCGTAGATTATGCCGCGTAGATGCATCTAGAGGGCTTAGACCACAGCTTGCGGTTTCTGGATACGTATGGGTCTACGTAGATGTGCAAGAACTACGATGTCGCCCGTCGAAATTGAACGTAAGGGAAGAAGATTGCTCCGAACCGCTTTCGCGTCGTACGTTCCAAACCGAGAAACGCGATACAACCTTCCGTACTCGAATTGATATCGACACCTAAGTCTCTAAAGAAATTCCCGTTTAACAGAACAATTGGCAAACTTCGTACATTTACTTGGATCGACGATAAAAATAATTCATTCAGGTAGAAGAGGTTTCAGGTAGATAACGGGACGTTCGTTCGCGGTCGATTCTACCGGTAATTCCGAAAAGTCTAGTCGTTTTCAAAATGTCCCTTTTTTGTTTCGCCAGTCCCATTTTGGTTATTTTCACGAGCGCGATAACAATGCCACGATTCGCGAATTACGCAATAAGGGATGTAGGTTCGGATTTAGTCGCACGTTCCAAACGGTAAAATCCGTAGTCGAAATTTTCGTACTCCCGGCCCGAAACGCAGCGGTCATTCCGTATTTTTCGCGAATTTTTTTTCGCCCTCGCGGCGTAATCTCTTTTTTCACGATGCTCTCTATCGGAAACGCATAGCGATCGCCCGTGCGCGCGCGCGTGGACGGCTACGCGAAACACTGTAACTCCTGCTTGGCTGATAATTAGCGCATCCATCAGCCGCAGCAAGCCGCTAGCTAATGCCGATCGTACGTTATCGTTATCACGGTCTCCCCATTTTGTCCCACCGCCGCTGGCCCCCGCCGCGTCCCTCGAATGCCACCCCGGAGCCCCTCTATATTTGTACGTGGTCCGTGCGCGACCCACAACCAGCGACACCATCACCGATCAGCCACCCCTTTCAACCCCTTCCTGCTGCCTCCTGGCTTCCATCCTATATCGGCGGCGAACGCACGAGCTGTCGATACGACCAATAATCTAATAACCAGTCACCGGCAATGTGTCGTAAGTCACCGGTCTGCAGATTTTCACCGGTCGGGAACCAATAACGCGTTTCCCCCTTGAATTATCAATTCATCGGTCGTAGGCCGCGCCGGACGTACGAAAGAACGAGGCTCCGTCACGGGCCCCAGCGGTCCGTGGGATATGAGATTTTTTCGCTGATTTACAACCCCCGCGATCCGCCCGCTCAAGATCATGCCACCGGGGAGAACCAGCGAAATTGTAAAATTCTGCATTCGGGAGAATCGCACTTACGTTCCTGTTCCACGATCTAGTAAAGTACTTGCGAAGGAGAATGAGAGGAGGGAGAAGTCGACGCGCGAGATCTGGCTATCGCGCACCAGTTTATTTCGAACGATCTGTTCGTAAAAAAGCGGCTCGCAATCCCAGCGGACGGTCGTCTGGTTTTTTATCTCGTTTCTAAAAATCATAGAGTCGCGTCGAAGGGCGAATCACGGTATCGCGATAGCGCACACAGGCGCAAAACGTAGCTATCGGTGGATGCGCGCGGGTTTCACGGCCGCGGGCCGCTAAATGATCCAGAACACCGGTGGGAATTGGTTCAACCGTCGAAGGGGATGGGGTCGCAGAGTGCACAGAGGCAGCTCGGTTATAACTAACCGAGCTGATCTACGACCTGTTTAGTAGTTCTATATCAGCGCTGCACCATGCTTCGGTACACGCAATCGAATTGCCTCCTCTGCCGATAATATCTGACTTAAGTAGGTAACCATCGCGCGTTTGCTCGCGCGGACACGCGTGCGAGGGTACGCCCACGCATAACTCGGCAGACGCGTGAATCGGGAGAGCTGGGGGCAGTGCACGTGCGCAAATACCTAGGATACGGAGGACGGCCGAGCAGGAAAGAAGTTGTTCCTAGATGTTAGATCGACTTAGCCACGATCGTGAAACGATTCTGGCCTGCTTATATCAACGACGATTATGTCAATCTTAAATCAAGTATCACGTGCCTGGTTACAACATTTTTCGAGATGCCAATAGATAATTGTCAAATCGATGTTCGTACACTGTTTACCGCTGGATACTCACCCTTATACCCCGCGACCATCCGCCAACCTCATTCTGTTCACTGTATTATACTTTCAATAGGTCGGTTCACGATCGTGACTAACTAGCACTGTTACACGCTAAACGAGTTAATGATTGATGTAACCGAGGCATGGCAGCGATCCGAGGATTGGGAAAGGGATGGAAATTGATTATACTATGCCGTTATTGCGATGAGTTACAATCGGCGCTATGAGCTGCGCGCATAATTGCAGCGCGCGCGTTCTGAATCAAATTGAAATTCCCCATTTCCGTGGATTAACTTAATCCTTTCCGGCGAATACCGTTTCCGATTGCAAAAATGTAGGAAAGATTCGATAATGATTTTACAAATAGATTCAGAACCAAATCTTAATTAGGGAGACATAATTTTCTAAGAAACGCGAAGTCTAAAAAAATCAGGTTCACGTCGGTCGAGTAAACCAATGTTCGGATGTCAGTTTCACTTTATCGACGACTGCATACGTAATGAGGGGGCGGCAGATTAAACGGCGGAGCGTCGTTGAAACACGACACGCATTTGTCGACGTCTAATAGAATATTAACGAACAGCAATCCGCGGCATTCGAATGGCCGCGTGCACAAAATGCATTTAGTAGCTCATCGATCGACGTTTCATCACGGGCGACCCGGCGAAATGAAAAACAAGAGGAGAGAGGCGGACGGTGCGAGAGGGGATCGTTAATTGTTTAATCCCATTCGATATTGGCGCCGATATTTTTAAATATGAATCCTCGGTCTAGAAATTGAACTATCCGATAGAAAATTGTGTTGTCCAACGGCGAAATATCGCCGCGGGATCGAATGGCTAAGCACGATTTACGGCTTCATTTATGACAGGGCTCTCGCGAGTTACTCTCATTGGCTCGGTTTTATAAAACGCGGCGATCGATCGCGTGCCGCTACATTATACGCCACCGGGCTGCTTGCTTAAACATTTCCATCGTGATTTACCGCGGCGTTCGGCGGCAGCCGGTGATCAGTTTTCAGCGAGTAATTCAAAAACTGACGTCTTTTATTATACGCCGCCTCTTCCTCTTCTTCGCGAACACGGCGGCCATTGTCGTATCGAAAAATATTTATTCGTAACCGATTCATCTCTCAAATAGAAAAAATGCTGTGAATCGAATCCTCACACAGATCTTTTCTCTCTGTCGCAGGTAAGGAAGATATTGCTAAGCCGCATTGGACATGGTTGCAAGGTGAGTTGTGCTTTCTTCAGACTCGATTAAAGAAGTTAGAAGCGTCGAAGGATGTCGGGAAGCACTTCATGAAATTCTTTCGATCCGTCGACGTCGCGTTCTCGAAAAGTTTCGTGCCGAATTCGGATCCCGCGTGTCATGGTTAGATTTATTCGATGCGAGCCGCACAGATGCTGCTACCGAAACCGAACGAACGGGGATGGGAGTATGTACCCTTCGAAATTTCCAACGAATTCGAGACGTGGTCCTGCGGCATTCTCGAACGACACGGGAGGCAAGCTTCCAAGAATAAAGAGTCGTGGGGTGAATTTTCATCGCGCAGTCCCCTTTCCATTACCTCTGACGAACTCTTTTCCCCCGAAAGCGGAGGACGAAGGATCGCGAGGAACAGCTGCGAGGCGTCTTGACAGCCGCGACGCGAGCGAGAACCGACCCTTGTTTCTCTTTTTCTCAAAGAACAAGGAAGGAGGAATACAAAAAAAAAAAAGAGGGAAAAAGAGGTTCGCCGCGACAGAACGTGCGGAGGTCGCCTAGAAGGGAATCGAGGGAGAGACTGGTCGAACGAGAGAAGGGAGAGCGAGAGAGAGAGAGAGAGAAAGAGAGAGAGAGAGAGAGGTGTAGAGAATACAGAACGATGCCTTCGAGGGTGATCAATAAATATTGGCTCTCGGGGGTGAAATTGGGGTAGCCGGGTACGGTATACGGCGAGACGGAGGGCGAGAGGAAGAGGACAGTCGTGCTGCTGCGGTTGCCGCCCCTTTCCTATGGCACACGACGTATGGTAGATATAACCACTTGGTGTAGGCAATGGAGAATCGCTCATGGACCGTAATTCCCTCAGACTTTCTGATCGATACTCACTTTAGGCCGTTAGTAGAAAGGCGGAAGGTGCCACGGATTTTCTAGTGAATCCCTCCAAAAGATTCTTTTTCTCTAATGTGCATTGTTTGCCCATTTTAAATTCCAATAACGTCATTTGCAATCCTATTGCCTGTCATAAGTCAATTACGAAATACTCTCCGAGGAACAGATTGATTCATTATCGATGTTCGCGCTAATTCGACAGGTGTATTTCCTCGATTGTTACTCCATGGCATTATAATTGCGGTGTTGTTCCCGTTAAGGATGTATAGGCTATATACCTAAACAATGCTAGCATGTTGAATAGGTTCCTAATACTATTAAAAAGCTACCTGCAAAATTTTAAATCAATTCATGGGTCTTTTGAAAAATTATAGTGACTTAAAATTTGCATGAACTCTTATGGTAACTAACAGCAACCCAAAGAAAATTTTCTGGTTCTTGGTGTGCACGCGCGAAATTGCAAGAAACAACTGACTTGAGGAAATACAAGCCTAAAAAGTCTGGATTTTTGACGCCTTTTAGAATACATTTCGATATTTTTCGATATTTTGAGAAAAAAAAATTTTTCAATTTTTCCGAGATTTTTCTAAGGGATACCCCTTCAAATTTCGCGAAATTTTCGTTTTTTGCCCATAACTTCCAAACGGATGGACTTACGGGGACATTTATACGACCATTTTGTAGAGG